CATAAGCTTGGCCTGGTGGTGCACTCCTGTAATCCCAGCCTTTGGGAGGTGGGGCTCGAGGACCAGGGGCTTAAGGTCATGCTTGTGGTAGTCAAGGTTCTCCTCCCCTCTCCTTCCTTTCCCTCTCTCCCTCCCTTCTTTCCTCCCTCCCTCCCTTAGTAATGCCTTGGGCAGCAGGAGAGGCAGAGGGAGACACAGCCTGTTAGCACAGAGGCTCTACCCAAGTGTAGGTGGGATTCTTGCCTGTGCAGTGGAAAAGTGGATGAGTCGGTATGAAGTAAAGTCATAGTTTGTTAAGAAGAACCTGGCGAGATGGCTTAGTGTGGGTAAAGGCAGTTGCTGGGCAGGCCTGGCCACCCAAGGTTGATCCCTGAACCCATGTAGAGATGGAAAAGAGAACAGGCTTTGTTCTCTGACATGTACGGGTGTACCATGGCATGCACACCCTCCCCATATGCATACAATAGTAATAAATATTTTTTAAAAAAGAAAAGCTCTAATAACAGATTTTAAGTGTCTGTGTTAAGGGCACATTTGAGAGCTATTTTGGGGGAAAAGTACCTATTTCACTGTGGATGTATATGGACTTCTGAAGACAATATTATCCAAAGAGATCTTAAGTAATACTTTTAAAATTTTTTATTTTTATTATTTTTTAATTGTGCATATGTGTAGCTATGGGTATGTGCATTTGAGTGCAGGTACCTGCGGAGGCCAGAGGTATTGGGCCCACTGTAGCTGGAGAGACGGACAGCTGTGAGCTGCCCTAATAAGGTGCTGGGAACAGAACTCCAGGCCCCTGGAAAGGCAGTGAGTGCCCTTAACTGCACTGAGGCATCTCTCCAGCCCAGTGAACCTTATTTCGTAGAAAATAAGATGATAAGGTGATTTCTGAGGGCAGGATTACAAGTTGAAAAGTCAAAGATGATTGCTAAACCAGGAATTCTTACTGACCATAGGACACAAGACAGTTGGGGCTTATGTGTTGTTTGTAATCAGTTGTTTTGCCCTCCCCTAAAAGATTTCCATATAACCACAGTGCTGCCAATAAAACGTTTAAATTCAAAGTTCAAACTTCGATGTTTCCCTCCGTTCGTTGTTTTTGTGTTTGCTCGTTCTGAGCGCCCCCCCCCCCATCATCCAGGAGCATCTAACAGCTGGCCTTACACTGGAAGGGCTTTGTGTGGCTCTGGAGTACCCTGTTGGGCGCTGATGAATTAGAAGGGCCAAGAAGAAAGGTACAGGAGCCCATCTTCTTCAGGTCACCCCTGGATGACGAAAGTATCAAATAGAGGCTCTCTCCCTTCAGAGATGGTGAAGGTCTAAGAGGCCATAGCTGGGAGCTTCTGTGGCCATTTTTACCTCCCTGTGTTTAAACAGACAGTGTGCTTCCAGGGATAGACTAAGGGCTCGGGGTGTGGACTTGACAGAGATGGGGCTCGGGGCTTCTGCTCCTGTGTCAGATTAGGCCTATCTTCCCATTACTGTCCCTTCTTTGGTATACGTAGGGTAAGGGCTCACTGTAAGGCAGGGGCAGTCATGTAGCAGGCTGTATTTCAGCCTCATTAAGTAGGTGCTGGCCTCAGTTTTAATTAGTTTAAGCAAGTCATTACATTTCTTGCTTGTATCCTTGACTCTCCCCCCCCCCACCTTAGTGTAAAACATGTTTGTATAGATAGAACCAAGAAAGGGACATGGCTGTGGTTTTATTTTGGAGAAACCCGGGTCTGGTGCCTCTTGTTTCCCTTCTCTTTGACTTAGTAGGTCATGATGGAACCATCCAGAGAAGATGTACGAGGGCCAATCAGTGCACAAAGAGAGGCTTAGCCTCAGGGCTCTTCAGGGAAATGCAGAAGAAAACCACAGTGTGATGGCCTCTACTCACGGGTGGCGACATTAGAGCCTTGTGGTAGAGAGTTGGTGGGGGGTGGGAAATAACACAGCCACTGTGAGAAGCAGGTAGGCCTTCAAGGGGTTAATTAGGACCACATCATCTAGCGGGTTCAATTCTGGGCACACACCGAGGACAACGGGAAGGTAGTATTTGCTCACCCATGTCCACAGCATCACTGCCCATGTCAGTGAAGAGGCAGAAGTAGCTCTAATGTCTATCAGCAAAGCGTTTGTGTTCACACTCAACGCACATAGCAGAATGTCGTTGGTCCTTAAAGGGGGAAGGGGATTCTGATGGGCACGCTCATGAAAGAACTTATAGACATTCTGCTATGTGGAGTAAGCAAGCCACAGATAGATCAATACTTTGTGACCCTCTTTTATGGTGTTCATAGAGGTGCATTCATGGAGACAGAAGGTAGAGCAGTAATAGCCAGTGGCCTGGGGAGTGGTAAACAGTGCATCAGTGGGCTACAGAGTTTTAGTCCAGCAGGGAGAAACAGACTGTAGTGATGGACAGTGAATATGGCATCCCAACAGTATGAAGATACCTAATGTTGTTGGACCAAAAATGGGGAATCTTGTTAGGCCCATTTTAATATAATTACAAAACAGACTCCAGAAAAGGAACTCAAAAGCCACCTTTGACTTTATCACTTTGCTGTTTATATCTGTGAGAAAAGAAAGGCTTCCTGTCAGGCAGAATGGCACCAGATGGCACTTCCCATCCCGGCCCTCCCCACCTGCAAGGCTACCTTGCCCTTCTGAGGTTGATCTCTGGCCCGAACCAATGCATGCTTGAGAAAAAGTCAAACTCACAGATGAGGTCAGCCTCTGTAACTTTGGACTTTAGCCAAGGACTATTCCTTGGCTGTGATTTTACTTGGGGCTTTTGTTGTTACTGCTTGGCCAAGTAGAGAACAATGAACTGCTCTTGTTCTGCAAGGGGGGTGGTGGTGGAGGGAGGTAGTGGGTGCCTAAGTCTTGTCAGCAAACTCTGAGAGCTGGTGACAGACCAGCCTGACTCACGTGAGCACTCACCTGCTGTAGCAGCAATGAAGGCTGAAATTGGCAACAGGCACTGAGTGGACAGTTCTTCTTGCTTTCTTTAGATCTCTAAACACCATTGATCGACCAGGAAGTTCACAACCATCTTATTATCTTGACAGTGTTGTGTTTTAGTTCATGAAGTTGCTGTCATTTATTTATTTATTTATGGGGGGGCATGTGTGCTGTGATGTGTGCCAAGAGGTTGGCAAAAAACTTGCAGGAGTCGCTTCTTTCCACCATGTAACTTCCAGGGACCTAACTCAGGCCTGGCGTCAGATGCCTTTGCTCGTTGAACTGTTGACAAGTGATTTTTAAACACTAATCCTTTATTTCAGGATAACCCATATTAAACCATTGGGTTATCTATCTATCTGTCTGTCTATTTTATTTATGCATTATAGAGATAGGGTCTGATGTAGTACAGACTTGTAGCCCAGGACCCCAAATTTGTTGCAAAGCCAACAATAACCTTGAATTTCTGGTCCTTCTGCCTCTGCCTCCTGAGAAGTGGTATTACAGGCCGATGTATTATGATGGTATTGTGTGCTGATGTGCCCGGTTCTGAGCCACACTGAGGATCAAATCCAGGGCTTTGTAGCTGATAAGCAAACAGTCTACCAACTGAGCTGTATCCCCAACTCTACTTTGCTTTTCTGTGCTTGGAGTTGAGTGTAATATGCTTGATGGCATTTTCACATTTTCTTGTGTTTTGTTTTTCAGGGTAACTTCGTGGACTCACACCTTCATGCTTGTTAAGTATGTGCCTTGTTCCCATGACCATGTAAAACCTACTGAGCATTAACCTCCCTCCCAGCAGAAGCCAGGCTGCAGGTAATGACAGCTCAAGTCTGTGGGCCTCTCATAAAGTGTGTGACCCATCGGTGACCCATTGAGTAACAAAGAACGGGTTCTCTGCTCCCATGACTGGGTTTTGAAAGTGTTCGATAACTGCCATGAACCAGATATCCATCCATTCGATTTCTGTTCCGTGACTGTGCAAGCTTCAATGTGCAAGAATGGAGAATTGAAAAACCTGCTAAAAATGCTTGGAGCCTGACAGGAAGTGCCGTGGGCTCATAATAGTTCAGTGCTGATTAAAAGGATGGGGGGAGGGTTGGAGCAAATTTTAATTGGCATTTTGATTACCTCAACTCTTGGAGCTAAGTGGAACTTTAAAAGGAATTTAAAGAGACCGGTACCTTTTTTCTGTTGCCCACATTCTAGCCTGTTTTTCTCTCAATGCATTGTAAAGTGAGTTTACCAGGGCTGTGGTTGCTTGGGAACAGGGACCTCAATAGCCCCTGTGGGTCCAAGGGTTCTGCACCTGTAGCTTCATCTGGCTGTCAACTGAATACGTATTTATATTTGTAACGACAACATTACTGAACGTGTACAGTTTTCCTAAAACGATTCAGTGGGAAATAGAGCGAGGCCAATGTCCATGGCGTTTCTGTTGTCAGGGGTTGTGTGTGTGATCTAGGAGGAAAAGAACATGGGAGGGTATGTGTTGGCTGGCCTATGTTGGTGAGTGCAAAGGCTACACTCAAGGACTTGAGTGTGTGAGGGTGTTGGAATCTGGAGGGACCCTGAGATGTTTTCCCCATATTACATGAGGTGTCATCCTCAATAAGAATCCCTACATAATGAAGATGTAATTTCTCTGATATATCTCTGCTTGTATGCCCATGTGTCTAGACTTTTCCTCTATTTTTACTTCAAGGGTCATCAGCCAACACTGGGTCTGAAGGGACTCTAGTTACAGCTGATAGTTTTATGCTGAGTTGGAACCGTGTGCCACTGATAATGCGCTTGAAATGCCTAGCACACAAACATGGAATGTAGCCCACGTGACCAGTGTAGCCTTGCACAATCAGGGGAACCGGTTTGTCAAATGACTCTTGTCCCTGAGCCTTTGACTCTTGCCCTTCACCCTCCGTTCCCCTTGTTTACTATTATTAATTATTGTTTATTATTTTTATTAATCATATTTAGAAAACCCTGTCTTACTGCAGCTTGACTTAGATGGTGACTCGTACTGATACAACTGTTCTCAGGTCCTTTAGGTTAAAATGGGGAACTCTGAGAGTCAGTACACCTTCCAAGGATCCAAGAATCATAGCAATACTGTGGCCAGTGCTAAACAAAAGCCTTGCTCTCTGAAAATACGCAGCATTCATGCAAAAGATGAGAAGTCTTTGCATGGATGGACTCATGGGAATAGCGGAGCAGGCTACAAGTCCAGGTCCCTAGCCCGAAGCTGCCTTTCTCACTTTAAGAGTCACCAGCCTTATGCCACCAGACTCAGTGGACCCACGTGCAAAGTCTCAAAGGGTACTGCCTACTCTAAGCACAGAGCAAATGCCCCAGGAAATGATTTCCAGGGCAACAGTGGTGCTTTTTTACCTGGGAATGGCTGCCACTATGTTGGCCACGAGTCAGGGGAGAGCCATATGACTGCCAGGGACTGCAATGGACACCTCACTTGCTACCGGAGAAGTGAGAGCATCAGCTCCACCCCACCAGCCCAGGACCGCAGGAGCCCCAGAGTGCTCATCAAGACACTGGGAAAGCTAGACGGGTGCTTAAGAGTTGAGTTCCATAGCGGTGGCAACCCGCACAAAGGGCCCTCAGAGGACCCCAGTGGACCTGTACAGCTGCTGAGATACTCGCCTACGTTGGCATCGGAAACCTGCCTGGTGCCAGAAGCGAGGCGGGATTCGGGTGCAGACTCCCCCGGCAGCCGGCGCCCGTCTAACCTGCGCTCCAGCAAAGGCAGCTCCCTGAGCTCCGAGTCATCCTGGTATGACTCCCCATGGGGCAACGCTGGGGAGATGAGTGAGGTAGAGGGTTCCTTCCTGGCTCCCAGCACCCCGGACCCAAGCCTCCCCACCAGCTTCCCACCCAGTGACACCAGAAAACCTTTCAACCAAAGCTCTTCCCTCTCCTCCCTCCGGGAACCATACAAAGACGCCAACCTGGAATGCCGCTCTCCCTCTGGAACCTGCCGTTCTTCCGATGAGTACATCGGCTCCCACGTCAGCCTGAGCAACCGTGTCTCATTTGTCTCTGATGTGGATGCGCCCTCCAGGGTGGAGCACAGGGATCCCATGCACTATAGTTCCTTCACTCTCCCCTGTCGCAAGTCCAAAGCCTTAACTGAGGATGCTGCAAAGAAAGACACCCTCAAAGCAAGAATGCGGCGCATCAGTGACTGGACAGGAAGCCTCTCTAGGAAGAAGAGGAAACTTCAGGTGAGGACAGCGTGGGGTCAGGGGCGCAGGGTCCTAGAGTTTCCCCATCTGGGTTTCGAGGCTCCCAGAACATCAGGTGAGCTGGGGAAGGGAAGGGTTTAACTGACCCAGTATAGCTCCTCTTCTGATGAGAGTTTCTTTCTCATTTGCTTCAGACATACACTTTGAGCCTCAGCTCCCAACTCCAGTGGGTCCATGTTTTAGCCGAGGCATGGGACAGAACCCATTACTGACCGGGTGACTGAAGGCCCCCCCCCCCCAGGTTTCCTGGTTATGGAGGCTGGAAAGTTGTGAGCCACTGTGGTGAGATTCTAGGTAGGGAAGGGGAGAAACCTAGTCCATTTCTCCTCTTAGGAGGACACCAGTAACTTCAGGACTCCAGCCCCTGGCTCTCATCTAAGCCTAATCACATCATTGCTATCTCTGTGGGAGTTAAGGCTTCAGGCATGGGTTCTGAGGTGGCAGAGGACAGCACTGCATCCAGCCTCAGCACCAAGTTGCGTACTAAATTGCCTTGGCACTTGTATGCAAGCCCACAGGCCTGGTTCCAAAGCTGGTCCAACTATTCTTAGATGGCGTGGAGTGAAGATCCAAGTGGCCTGGTAATCTGAGGTCTGTGTTAGGCCGTCTTCAAGTCCAAATAAAAAACAGAACGTCATTAAGTTCAGTTAGGGAGGCTTTCTCAATGTGATATTACTTTATACTGAAGTCGGTTCATAACCAATCATAAACTGTGGAGCATGGACGTGTGTGTGGGGCGGGAGAAGGAACTCATGGCCTGGCACATGCCGGGCACGTGCTCTGACCACTGGGCTGAATCCAAAGCCCTTTGTTCTATTTGATTTTCTTTACTTAAGTAAGTCACGGAATTAAAAACAGTCTGATTAGGGTCATCAGTTTATAAGGGAATGTAGTCTTAACCCTGCTGGATACACACGCTCATGGGACTAGAAAAGCAAAGTCGAGAGGCATTAAGAGCAGGTAACAATACAACCTGTTTATAGAGTTCACCGTTGGTTGCTTCCTTCTTGTGTGTGGTGCCTGACATCACCACCTTCTCTCCCAGGGGAGATGGAGATCTGACGGCCACCATCCTATCCCCGGGACTGATTTCCTATCTCTAAGTGTAGTAATTTTCTGGCTCTTGGCCAAATCACCCAACAGATCCTTTGAGCTTTTGCCTCCTGGATCTTGTTTCCCAAGCATCTCACAGTGCTTGTTCAGCCCCTGCTGCCCCAGGGCTTACGTCCGCATCTTTTGGCTCCCAGAATTAACAGAGCTGGCTATGTCCAGCTGCTGTTCCCTCATGCATACTGTCACGGATACCCCTGCTTGTTTGCCTGGAGTGCGCTTCATCATTTGGGTTAGTGTCCTGACTCAATGTACAGTGATCCCAAGCACATTCAGGCTCTGTTTCCACAGTCCAAAGCAGACCTCTTAACCATGGTGTTTGGATCACTTTCTGCCATATGCAGTCACTGACTGCCCAGCCTTCACGGGGGTGGGGGGGTGGGGGGTGGGGGGTGGGGGGGAACGGGACACCGAACCTCCTTCAGTTTGTGTCATGCATAACTTCCCTTTGATATATCATGTGGAGTTACGAGCAAAATAACTAGAATTAATTTTTCTTCTTTTTGTTGAGACAGGGTTTCTCTGTGTAGCTTTGGAGCCTGTCCTGGAACTCGCTCTGTAGACCAGGCTGGCCTCGAACTCACAGAGATCCTCCTGCCTCTGCCTCCACAGTGATGGAATTAAAGACGTGCTTCACCAACGCCCAGCCAAATAACTAGAACTCTAAAACGAGAAATTTAATGCTAGAAAGGACCTGCACATTTTAGAGACCAGGAAGCTGAAGAATCAAGGAGTTTGTGGTCTTCCCGGCCAGGTAGTGGAGAAGCATGTTGGAGGCCATATCTGTAAAACCTCAGACAAATGACAAGATATCGTTGACTACTGTTAATTATTGTTGAACAGGATGATGAAAAATTTAGGCCCTTTCGTTTTTAAGTTACCCATGAGGAGAGCCTCTTGAAAGTTTTGTCTATAGATTCCCCGATGTCTGGTTAGCTAAAGATATGAGTAAGATTACTTTTTTGGTTAATATTCCAGTCCTATTGTACAGACATATTTCCTTTCATAGAAAAGATTAGGATAAGGTCTTTAAAGATGTAATCTAGTCATGTGTGATGGTTCAGGACTCTCATCCCAACTACTTGAGAAACTGAGGCAGGGAGCTTGAGGTCTTTCTGGGCTGCAGAATGAGAGAATGAGGTCAAAGATAGCCTGGGTAACTTAGCGAGATTCTGTCTCAAAGTAAAAATAATAATAATAATAATAATAATAATAATAATAATAAAGGGTCTGGAGAGATGGCTCAATGGTTAAGAGCACCAGCTGCTCTTTTAGAGGACTCGGGTTCAATTTCCAGTACTGCACCCACATGACAGATCACAACTGTCTGTACTTCCAGGTCCACGGGATCTGATACCTTCACACCAATGGACATGAAATTAAGTTTAAACACACACACACACCACTACCGTATACTAAAAAACTGCTTTAAAATAACATCAAAAATAAGATATCTGGGGACATAGTTCAGCAGAACAGTGCACATGCATTATGGTTGGAGTCCCAGGCTCAATCCCTAGTACCACACACAGAAAAACAAGCAGTCCCTGTGTGGGAGGAGTCTGTGATGATGAGCTTTAACAAGGCAATGAAGTGACAGCTACTTCTCTCACCCACATAAACGTTTGTGTGCCAGCAGAGTGCTGATTCAGAAACAGTCGCTTGACGGACAGGCATTTGTTGTGACTTTAAAAGAAGACATGAAAAGAACAGGCCTTTCAATACAGACCTTTACGCCTGTCCTCACACGTGTGAGCTTGAAAACCAGACATCTCAAAAAAAGAATACCAGGCTAGGAGACGGAGAAATATGTACTGGAGAGCACCTCATCCTTGGTGAACACCTCATACTAATTTTAGCTGACAAGGACCCTCATCCTGCCTAGGCTAAGCACTGTGTTCTTTTAGCCAGGGTAGGATAGGCTTTGCTGAGTTAGCAGTGTCCACCGCTCGTCTCTGTTCTTTGTGACGTGTGTCCATCATAGACCGCAGGTTGCTGGGATCTGCGCTGTTCTTCGAGACCCTAGGCGGATAGGACAGCATCCGTGAAGAACATTATACATCTACCACAGCAGAGAAAGTTGCATATTGACTTTGAAAGCTTCACTTCAGAGGCGACATGCTTAACTTGTGCTTGCATTCCCGGGTGTGGGGGTGGGGGGTGGTGGGTGGGGGGTGGAGGATGGGGGGTGGGAGGTGGAGAAGCAATCCTACCACGTGCCTTGGTGAGGACCAGAACTTTTGGGGGGCATCATGAAGGACTTACATGGTTTATCACAGAGAGGATTTAGGACACCAAGGCTTGCTTTCTGGCCCCCTCTAATTGTCAACTCTCACTTCTCAGAGAGGAGAGGCATGTGAGCAGGGGCCTTTCCTAGCATGTGAAGACAGGGGTGGGGTTTCCTCTAAAGATTAGGCATCATCTTTTGCTTTTCCAGCTCTGTCGCGATATGATTAATAAGCAGAAATTGAATATACTAACCTGTATAACCTGATACCTTGACATACATGTACAATGGGAATGGGTCACCATAACCAAGCTACTTTGAACAGTCATCACTCAACATAGTTAGCACGTTGGTTTTATTTTATTGTGAGACTGTTCATAATCTACTTCCCTGACATAGTTCATATACACAAAGGAACGTCCGCTACAGTCGTAATGGTGTAATCAGATCTCTAGAACTTACTTGGCTGGTGTAACCAAAGCTTTACACCTGTGCAGCCTCTGTCTTAACCCTGGGCCTCCATGCCCACCTAGTTTGGATTCTCACATAAGTGAGACGGGTCATGCTGTGTTTGCTTCTCTGTGGAGTCAACCCCTCTAAGTACAGTTGTTAGTGCCCTGCTCACCAAGTTACAGTAGTCACTGCCTATGGTTATGGTTGAGTAGGAATGGAGACCACAGGCACTATGCACACATCTGGTAAGCTCTCTGCACTCACACCCATCTTGCAGTTATTAGGAATTGCGTCTGGACCTGTTGAAAGATGTCTTAGTTTTCAAAGTGCTCTTCTTAGGCTGAGATTTCATCATTGGCAATTGGGATTGTAGATGGACAGTTTTAGACATTGATTAGAGCCTGGGAAAATGCATGCCCATTTGTAAGAATCAGTGATACATAGCCACAGGTGCTATTTGTTCATCTCTCAGGAAGGAACAGTCTTGCCTTGTTACGGAGGGACGTTTAGCACCCTCGCAACATGAAGTCTCTCTCTTAAGAGAATCAACGACGATTACTGTTCATAGGTAACTTGGGTACATCTCTCTTCCAGAGATGAGCTGGTTTGGAAGCGCCTCACTAAGGCTCTTGCAAGGAAAGAGACTCTCCCAGTGTTTAGGGGCAGTGAGTCAGACTCATAGCTGCAGTAACAGTAATGCTGCTAAATGCACAGCATTCTTTCATGTCTTTGGAGTTTACGAAAGTCTAAACAAAGTGATGGTTAGGAGAAGACTCTCCAAGTATTTTGAATTTCCTGAGTGACTCATAGCAGCCGTTGGATTGGCTCTTTGAAGCAGAGGTGTCGGTGTATAAATATGAATGACCACAGGACATAGTGTAAACACACTGGGAGGTGTTATCATGGTTAGTAAGAGCTGTTTGTGTTCTGGGCTCTGTTTTTAGCACCTGGGCCTTGGAAAACACTCTTCAGTTGCCTGGTGATGGTTTCACTGTAAAAGTCACTTAATATATGTGATTTGAATTTTTCTTTTTTTAAGACAAAATTTCCTCAAGAAAATATCTCCACAGGGTGGAGTATTCAAAATAGAGCAATAGAGCCCCAACTCAATGGCCCCTGACCCAGTTCCTTCTCATTTGATTTTGATGATAAGGAAATATCAGAAGTTGAGTATACTTGACTGTTGTTATATTTTTGGTTGTGAGCTTAGCCTTTAATGGCTGAGCCAGGTCTCTAGCCATACTTGACTGTTCTCTTTATTTGTTTGTTTGTTTGTTTATTTATTTATTTATATATTATGTGGTGTTCCATCTGTGTGTTTGCATTCATGCCAGAAGAGGGCACCAGATCTCATTATAGATGGTTGTGAGCCGCCATGTGGTTGCTGGGTATTGAACTCAGGACCCCTGGAAGAACAGTCAATGCTCTTAACCTCTGAGTCATCTCTTCAGCCCTACTTAACCTTTCTCTTACAGCTGTATTCAGCTGGGTAGTTGGGGTGTCTTATTTATTAAATTACTTAGTTTTGAGGTAGGCTTTCGTTCTATAGCCCAGGCTGTTCTGGAACTCACTAGATAGTTAGTCCTTGTTGGCCTGAGCTCAAGACGTTCAGCCTGCTTCACCCTCCCACAATGCTGGATTACAAGCTACCACTGACAGCTGGTTTTCTCCCATTAAGCAGTGAGTCCTCCATCGGTCAGCTGCTTTCCATGAAAGTTAATAAAGGCATCGGGATGGGTGTCGTGCGTCTGTAACCTGGCTCTGTAACTGGCTGCTGTGTGTTCTGTGTCCCTAGATTTAGCAGTTGTTAGATAACTGTAGAGCTTACTTAGAGCGGCTCGTGTTTGGGTTTGCATTAGAACTAATATTAAGATAAATAGTCGTGTCAGAGACACCCTCCCCATCCAGTGCCTAGAGTAAAAGAGACACTCAAAGAAAAGGAGAGGAACAAAAGAGATCACTTTAAAAAAAAAAAGATAAATTCCTGAATTAAATAAAAATGCAATTAAAAAAAAACAAAACGTACAATTACTAGGCAGTACCCCTAGTGGGTTATGAAATTTTGGAACTTGGATTTTACTCTAGGAAGTAGGAGATAGGATGGTAGAGATTATTATGTAGAGGAGTCTAAGCCTGGGCAGTTGGCCCGAAGACTTCATTTGAGATAAAGGAAAGCAGGAAAGTGTGTGTGGATCAACCTAACAGCATCAACTCCCAGCCTTCCCCCCCCACCCCCGGTTATTTTCTGAATCAATGATTTCACATGATTTCGGAGAAAAATGGATAAGAACATGAATCCTTTCCTAGAAGACACTAAATCATAGCAAAGAATATCACTCTAGAAAGCTTTCCTAGTGTGTATTAAATATACTTAGTAGCTAATTGATCTGGTATTGAACTCAGGCTAGGTTCAGAGAGCCAGTGGCTTCCTGTTTACCTCTTTATATCTGACTCCATTGGTGGATGTGAGATTGGGCGGTATTCTACCTAGAATCCTTTCTGGTTTGGGGATGTGATGATCCGAGTTGTGTTTTGTTACGAGGCTCTTTGCATCCCCATCATTGGATGTAGCCACGTTACACCGAGGCTGTCTAGAGGGCTGATGCTGTGGGTACCATAGCTTGTGATGATGACTCGCTGGTAATTTGCGTTGTGTTCAGGAACCGAGGTCCAAGGAGGGCAGTGACTACTTCGACAGCCGCTCAGAGGGACTGAATGCAGACGCGCATGCGTCCATGCAAACATCTGCCTTACTGTGGTCAGGGGGCTCGGCCCAGACCCTGCCTCAGAGAAGCGAATCCACCCATGTGATTGGCAGCGACCCCCTCCAACAGAACATTTACGAGAATTTCATGCGGGAGCTGGAAATGAGCAGGACCAACACGGAACGCGTGGAGACGCCCACAGAAACCGTGGAGTCCAGCAGCGAGTCCCTCAGCTCCCTGGAGCAGCTGGACCTGCTCTTTGAGAAGGAGCAGGGAATGGTCCGGAAAGCCGGGTGGCTCTTTTTCAAGCCCCTGGTCACTTTGCAGAAGGAGAGGAAGCTGGAGTTGGTGGCTCGCAGGAAGTGGAGACAGTACTGGGTGACGCTGAAAGGTACGCGGTTGGAGTTCTCTGAAGGCTTGTCCTTCAATTGTCCTGTCACCAGGTAGTGCTGGTGCGTCAGGATTAACGTGAGTATGAAGGATGTGTGTGTCTGTGTGTCAGCGCGCGTGTGTGGTACATACACATGTATATGAGCATCCACGCAGAAGCCAGAGTACAGACTCAGGTGTCAACCCTTAGGTGCTGTCCAGCTTATTTTGAGACGTAGGCTCTCTCTGGCTTAGAATTCTCTAATTAGATTTCTCCAATTCGGCTCAACCAAGTGACTGGTGAGCCCCGACATCTGCATGTCTCCACCTTCCCATCACTGGGGTTATAACCACTATTACTATGCCTAAGTTTTTGTTTTTTTATGTGGATTCTGGGGAAGGCTTCATTCTCGCAAGGCTAGAACTTTATGAACCGAGCCACTTTCCCAACCCTAACTTGAAAGATTGTGATCTATCATCTCATGGCATGCTCCACCGAAAATATTTAACAAGTACGTTTAGTAATTTATTTATTTAACCATTTATGTGTGTTATACAGCCTGATCAATAATTTTTAAGATGAATTACTCTCTATGTATGATTCTCTGCCATTCTTCGATACTTGTATCTAAAATAATGCAAGACCCTGAATAACTGTCACCTCTACCTGGCTAACTCGTATTTTCCATTCTGCACATACTCAGAATTCCAAAGCAGTCAGTCCCCTTCCTGGATGGAATGTAATCGGGAGGATTGGATGTGTACCCTCCCCTATTACTGACTAAGAAAGTATTTTTGTCTCCACCACTGCACAGCTGTTTCTTTGTTCACTTCTTTGGGGTTGGACCTGGGGCCTTGGTGAGAGATGATGCCACACTCTCAGAGACCTTACTCCCTCATCCTACACCTGCCCCTCTCCTCCCCCGTGTTCCTTTCTCAGAACAGAACTAGGAATTTGTCTTGCTCAGGTAAGAACACCCCTGGCAAGCACGGCCAGTTAACAGCTGATTGCTTTGCTCGCTGTGGAAGTGCAGGCTGGAAGGACTCCATCTCCTGGGGGAGGGGGTAGTGAGATGCCTCAGCGGGCACAGCCCTGATTCATGCGGGAGCAGACAGGTGGTTGGAACCTCAGCCTCCTTGAAGGGCTCCTGTGATTGTTAGACAGACGGACTAGGATGTTCCGGCCCCTCCTTCCATAGGGAAGGGAGCAGAAACACAAATCACACCTGGACACAGTCGGTGTGAACTGCCAGGCTGCCTCTTGGCTTTCCCGTGCATTTCCAGGATGACAGGGTATAAATAAAAGTGATCATGTCTTCAAAGAACAGACGCCATCCTCACCTCCATCCATGGCCAGGGTCTCAGGATTCTTGCAAAGGAGGTGGCAGCCTCCTTCCCCTCCCCTGGTCTTGTGTGACAGACTTTTCCTAGGGAACTAGAGCCACATCACCGTACCACACTTGAGGTCCGTCCCTCCTATGGGGCAGGCATCCAGTCAAATCCAAAGCCTCGGCTACCCCCCCCCCACCTGCCCGCTGCCCCCCAAACCTTCACATTACCACTTCCTCCCTCTGGGAATTCATTGTGTTAGGATCAACTTTCTTGGCTTCAGTTCTGTACATTATAATGTTGGAACTAATGTATTTGGGTTAATCTTACTTGAAAATGCGCGCGTGCGTGCATGCGTGCGTGTATGTGTGTATGTGTGTGTGTGTTAGGATTTGGAAGTTATTCTTGAGGTAGTCATGTGGATAAATTGGAAATGACTGTCTGTAAAGAGGGATTATTACTGAGCTGTCTTGTGACCCTGATGTCACTGATGTGTGCAATGCTAAGCAGACAGCGGTCAGAGTTTGAAAGATAGATCATTTAACAGGGAACATCTGCCTTTCCCAATAAGTGGATTTCCTTGCAGTTCACAGGGTCTCCTGGGCTGAGGGGTTGTCAAGGTTATTCAGACTCGCAGTACTCTGTGTGAGGGAATGGGGTTGCTGAGGTGAGATGGCCTAAGTTAATAACACCCCTGCTCCACCGTCATGTGACTCCATCTCCGGTCTCCTAGTGGTAGGTTGGAGTATGTCACTCTGACAACCTTGTAGGACGGCAGCTGTGAGGACAGAGTCGGGGCGGGTGTGTGTGTGTGTGTGTGTGTGTGTGTGTGTGTGTGTGTGTGCACTGCGTTGCTATTGATGGTGATACCACGTTGAGCACACCATCCGGTTTTCATTCTGACCCTGAGAGTTTAACTAGGCAGCTGCACATGCTAGCATGTCCTTGTTCTAACACCAACCCCTTGTGCAGGTGTCTGGGGGCATTTGGGGAGTGTATCGTTTACCTCTCACTCCTTTCCTACATTTTCTGGCCATGTGACAGGGTCATTATTCTGCTTCTGTCTTGCCTAGGCTGTACTCTGCTGTTTTATGAGACTTACGGAAAGAATTCCACGGACCAGAATAGTGCCCCACGGTGTGCCCTCTTTGCGGAGGACAGCATTGTGCAGTCTGTCCCAGAGCACCCCAAGAAGGAGCACGTGTTCTGCCTGAGCAACTCGTGTGGGGACGTCTACCTTTTCCAGGTACGGCTGCCGTGCGAATGGAAGGGTGAGGCGACAGCGTGTGAATGAGTATGACGAGAGCAAGCGGGACTCAAGGGGAACTTGGCATGGATTCAGTGAATGTTCTGTTAGGCTTTGGGATTAGGGTGTGAGCAGGACCCTGTGACTTCCCATACCTACCAAGACTAGCTATTCCTGTAGCAGGCATTGGTCAGGTGCTTGTGACGTTCCAGGCTACTGCCTATCGTATCTATGTGAGGGCAAAAAGGAAATATTGCGATCTGTACTCCACATAACACTTGAGCTGGAGAGGGTAATGTCTGAGAGTTCCGGGACACAGGTCTTTTAAAGAAGCCTGGAGACTGTGGCCAGGGAATTATCAACAACTCTCAGGACTCCTAGTAAAAGTCAAAGCAGCAGCCTTTTGGGAACGTGAGGCCCTCCTGGATAAGTGTTGTGAAAGTGACATCTGCCTTTAGAGATTAAGATCCAGGATATCTGCTATTGGGATTTTTAGCCATTTGGTAGGGATGCCTAGCATAGTGTTGAGTCCTGCCAACCAACTGATTTCTAGCATCATTACTGAGCACCTGTGTCTTCTTGGAGCACTTAGCCAACTTCCTGACACTTGGAACTTTGAACAAGTAGATTTATGAGAGTGCACAGAAGCCAGGCAGTGGGGTAACTCACCCCTGTACTTGGGAGGCTGAGGCAGGAGGATCACTATGTTTAAGACCATCCTGGGCCATGTATTACTTTCCAGTGTAGCATGAGCTACACAGAGAGACTTGAACCACCACCACCACCAAAGGACCTTACAGAATTGCTGTTAGCGTGCACGTAACATGTATGACATGATGTCACCTCGGCTGGATAGACTTGTTTTCTGTCACTAACTGAAAGCTGTTTCTTTGTTCCTTGTTTTTTCTGACTGCCACACTTAGGTTTCTGCCTTTTATTTCCATGATGATATACCCTGACAAAAATCGACTGAGAAATGGTTTATTTTGGTTCATGATTCTAGGTCAAAGTCCGTTACTGTGGGAAAGTCACGGTGTGTGTTTACACACGTGCGCGCGCGCACACACACACTGCTCAGCTCACTTTCTCTACTTTTACATACTCCAGGACCCAAAGCTAGGAAATGGTGCCCTGTGCGTTCAGCTTGGTCTTTTCATGCCAATTAAAGCAGTCAGGACAATCCCCATAGATAAGGCCACAGGTCAACCTAATCCAGACCAGCCCTCATGGAATCTTCCTGGGGAACCCTTGGCTGTATCAAGCCAGCAGTTGGAACTAACAAGCACAGGCACTATAATCCTTTCTGCTTAACTCCTGCAGCTCTTTGCTCAGTGTCTCTGAACCAGAGTTAGGTGTTTATGTTTGGGAAACTAAACTTTGTTTTTTTTTTTGGGGGGGGGGGGAAGACAGCCCTTGGGTTTGACCCATCAAATCCTGGTCTTCCATTTTGGAGAGAATGTGTGTGCTTAAATAATCTCAAACAGTTCCTCCGCCCCATGTTTAGGCCACTAGCCAGACAGATCTGGAAAACTGGGTTACCGCCATACACTCGGCATGCGCGTCCCTTTTTGCAAAGAAGCATGGGAAAGAGGACACGGTGAGGCTGCTAAAGAGCCAGACCAGAAGCCTGCTTCAGAAGATCGACATGGACAGCAAGATGAAAAAGATGGCAGAGCTACAGCTGTGTGTGGTCAGCGACCCCAAGAACAGGAAGGCCATCGAGAACCAGGTACCCCTGATTGCACGCCGCTCCACAGCCACCTTAGGCACACTCCCAAGTGCGTGGTCCGTCTCCTCCCTTAGTGCTCCCCTCTCTCACAAATTGCACGTACTGGTATATCTTAGAGAGGTGTCTGACCTGAAAGCATGAGAAATCATTTTGACATGCGTATCTTATTTCTAAGAAATGTGTACTCTAGTTAAAACAAAAAGCATGCCTGGTAAACATGGCAAAAGAGAACATTCTAGAATGGGCTAGTTGACCCCCAGCATAGTCTTCAAATGCTATGAGAGACCGCAGGGTTGAGGTTGGGCTGGGAACTTGAGAAAATGATGGCGTATATATTTTGTAACATTGATTGTCTGTGAATGAATTCAGGGAGAGCTGAGCCAGGAACGGTGTCCCTGTAGGCGTGGTTCAGACTGTGCCCACCTTCTGCCCCCTTTTGTGCATGGGACTCTTCTCAAACATGCTCTGCCCCGTACACACATGTGGGCGTGGGGGTGTCTGGTCTTCGGTTAACCGGATGACTGGTGCATTAACCTTGATACATCTTTCTCTTCACTTGCGCTCACTTTTAAATCTCCAACTAGGAATGGATTGTCCGTTGTGTCCACAGGCGTGGACCAGCGAGGCCCCCATCCCATACATCTTTCACGTGCTCTGCAAGCCACCTGTCTAAAAGTTTGCATCCTGAGGTATCGCTCTCGCTTATTGCCATTCAGAGTCTGCCGCTGGGCTGTACACTTTCGTTCATATCGCGTTTTCTCCCAGAGACCCCAGCAACGTCAGGTCTGGCCATCATGTGTCCTCACCATAGCAGATTCTACAGTGTAGACGACATCGTGTAAGGCAGATAAAGTCTCTGGGACGGGATCTCTTTGAAGTTGGTGGGTGGAGAAAACGGTTGTCAACACCCTTTCCTAAGAGAGACAAGGGCTGTGTTTCTTGCTGCTGCGGAGGTCACACGCCTCGCTTAAAATAAACCTTGCTACAGCGCTGTCCTCTGGCCTCTGGGCTCGTTCATGGGGTAGATGATGCAACATTCATTTGAGCGTGTCCAATGCGCACCAGACCCCGCCGTGTGTCCTCATGGGGCAGCCTTTGAAGTCCTGAGGGAGGAAGCATTGGAAATTAAGTCCAGTTAGTACTTTATTTTCCTTTCCGTTTATTATTTCAAACAAGTAAGTCCGGACAAAAGCCTCACCACCCCTAGGCAGGCTTGGCGTCCGCCCAGATGGCTTCCCCTCCCCCTCACAGCCTGCCTCATCATGTCCCCTTTCCAGGAACTAGGGTTCTGCCCGGTGAAGAGTGGGCTGGAACGGGGGTGCAGGTATGTTACCAGTGCGCTGCTGTGGTGTTTGGAAGCTATGAAGAGACTGTATCCATCCCCCCCCCCCCAGCCTTAGTGTGCCCTGCACATCCTTTCCTGCGTTTCCTAAAAGGTTAAGGATGATGAAGAAGGATGCTTTGTGTTTAGCCATTCGCGAACTGTGCTGAGGGCACAGTGTGGATGCAGCCCCGAAGATGGGAAGTGATAGGTGTGTGGGAAACAGTTTGTGGAGGATCCTTGTGGAGGGGCTTGAGGACAAGGGGGTGCTGTGCCGAGATGTGGGCTTTCTTTAGCGGGCGGTAGGAAGTGGTAGGAGTAAGGTGCTCGGCAGGACAAGGGTAGCCTGGTTCAGTGAGCTTTAGCTTAGTGCATACTGCAGGCTAGGTCTGCGTTTAGACGGGACACTCTGTCCTCAGACTGTCCTCCATCCCGAAGGGTGACAAAGTCAGAGCTATAGCTTCATAGTCCCCGGGAAGACAGTGAAGGGTAGATTTGGCTTCCTGTGCATTCTTGGGAGACTTCCTGGAGGAGGGGGGTCTTCTGAATTACTTCTTGGAAATGTGTTAACCGGAAGAGGGACAGAGAAGGGTGCCCTTGGCGGGGTGATGCATTTTCACACGACCGACAGTGTTTGCATGTAACCAGCACGCCCAGTTACAGGTTTTCGTGGTTTCACAGCCCTTCGCCATTCCCACGGCTGAGAAGAAGAAACGGTCTCTACTCTGGCGTTCATCCGGATGCCCACTTAGCTGTTTTCTTTTAGACCGATTCTCTGTCCCTATCCTGTTTCTGGGGACTTACGAGCAGAGGGGACTCTGCATGGTGCACATGCACGCTGCCTCCTTTCTCCTTGTCACCTGGGTCACCCTCTACATCCCATTTCTCATGAAGATCTACGGGCTACGTCCTTCAAGAGCGCCCCGACTCCCCTCACACAGGATCTGTTGGGGATGCTACATGGTTCTTGTTCTGTGTCTCTCTCTGCTCAGCATGTCACTCTTCCTGTTATCTCTTGTGGCTCCTCTGGTCCCTGCTGCAGAGCAACTCCTGGACCCCATTGCTCACATCTTTGTTGTTTTCTGGAGGTGGCGAGGGAATGGGCATTGGGCGCCATATTAGTTACTTTTCTTGTTGCTGTGGCCACATAGCGTGCTGAGCCCATGGGAAGGTGCCTCTCACATTTAGGGTAGCTCTTCCTACCTCAGCTAAACTCATCCAAGTAGCCCCTCAATGACATGGTCAGAGCTTGTCTCTGGGTGATTCTAGAGGCACATTAGCATTAACTATCACAGGCTCCTTTTATGAGCCAGGGGGTCTTTCTTCCTCACTGTAGAAGACTCAGCTCTTCTGAGTCCTCCCCTGCCGGTCATCTTTACTCCAGCTAACAGGTCCCCTCCCCTGCCTTCCTCTCTTCTAGTTCCCTCTCTGGTTCAGTATTCTGATTCCTTCTCAAGCCACACATGTTTGATTGTCTGATCTCTCTCTACCCAGTAGAGATGGGTAGACTGCATCCATCTGAGGGTTGGGGGAGCAGCCCCGTGGCTGAGTGAGGTTTCTGATGGTGCAAGGCTGGTGGTGGTGGTGGGGGTTGGGCAGAGCCAGGAATGAGCCCAAATCTGCTCTTGAGCTCTCGGCTGCCGCTCAGTGGGACTCAATGCTTCACTTGCTGACTAAATGTGGATGATTTTGTATGGATGAGAGATGGATGCTTGCTTCCCTGGGATTTCCAGTTTGATCTGAAGGAAAATTTACTGGCTATAAAATGGGTGACTTTTGTTGCCAAGAAAACAAAAGACAGCTGGCTGCTGTTTCGGCCACTAGTCAACTTAGGTGGATCCTTGTCACTGGTTGGCATCTTTAGTGAATGTAGGTTTTAGTGTTTGCAAGGCACAGGATGGGAATTTTTAAAATGCCTTCTACCAAGAAGGAAAAAGCAAAGTATCTTTTAGGCCAAGCCTAGTAATGGACAATTGGGCCAAATGTCACAGCTGAACGACTAAATGAGTGAAAATACTTTGCTAACAGGGCGGAGGCTGGCAGGAAACTGCCATCTTTCTTTAAAGGCATCACATACTCATTTCCCTCATTATTTTTATCAGTAGGCTGCATCGTCTCCCTTTTCCACCCTTTTACAGCTGTCCAAAATATCTCTGAGCTCATTCACCAAACATAGCTTTTTAACCAGTAAAAAGGAAGCTTGTCATTAAATTGGTGTCCATGCTTCAACCTAGGATCCTCCTATGGGATTTCATCATTAAAAATTTCCCTTTTATGTGACTGGTGACATGACTTACTGGAGCCACAATGACCTGAGTTTGATCTCTGGAACCCATATGAAGTTGGGAGGAGAGAAACAGCTCCCCAAAGTTGTCTCTGATTTCCACACATATAGCCTAGAACTCATGTACATGCGCGCGCGCGCACACACACACACACACACACACAGCACTCACATACATGTCCCACTCATACTCCCATACTCACACATTCATGCATGCACTCTCATACACACTCACACCACTCTCATACACACACTTGCACACACATTCATATACACAGTCATGCACATACACTCACAACACTCATATACACGCCACTCATACATTCATGCATGCACTTTCATACACACACCACTCACACACACACTCTTACTCTCACACACACTCACACTCTCACACACACTCACACACTCACACTCACACACTCACATACACTCAGGCTCTCACACACTCACTCACTCACACTCACACACTCACAATGCTCTCACTCTCACACACTCACACACTCACACTCTCACACTTACACACACTCTCACACACTCACACACATTTTCACACTCTGTCCCTTTTATGATAAAGGGTATTGCAAAGCGTAAAGCGGCTCCTCCGTCTCGTGTGTCATCCATGCCACTGCTGTGTTGGTGTGCACCGCTGTAAAGGAGGCTTTCACTTCCACGTCCAGATACTTAGGAACGTTTTTCCTCTGGCCCGAGGAAAACGTGAGGTAGCCGACGATGAGCTCAAACACCTGATCTTGTCTATTACCTTCTAAACGCTGGGCTCACTGGCGTGCACCACGATGTCCAGTTTGTGACCCAGCCCGGGACCTCGTGTCAGCTAGTAAGCCAGCACTCGCTGACGGAGTGGCACCCTGGGGCTTTCATTGCATCGCTTCATGCATGAAGCTGCATGTTGAACTTAGAAGAGGGCTGGGAGCACTGTTTCTCAGCCTGTGGGTTGTGCTGGTGTGAATCATATTTACATTATGTTTCATTACAGTAGCACAATTACAGTTACGAAGTGGCAACAAAAATCATTTTATGGTCGGGGCTCACCACAACATGTAGAAGTGTATTAAAAGTGGGCGGGCGTAGCATTGGGAGGGCTGAGAACCACTGACTACGGGAAGTCTGGGGACTACTCCAAATTTTTAAGTTTGGGAAGAAATGGGATAGGGGACAATGTTCAGTGTTGGAAATCTTTCTAATGACTGTTTAGGCTTCTCTGTGCATGCTAAGTAACACAGCCAACTGGAAATGCCATTGTTAGGAGGAAATCTGTCACCCTAAATAGGGTCCAGTGCCCAGTGGACATTGTAGGCTGTGTGGCGATGGCACCAGGGTCTGTGGAATGCCGGCTGTCTGTCCTGCTCTGAGCCACGTGTTGGCAAGTCACCTGAGTCTGTTGATCTGCATGCGGATGTAGGTCACATCTTATAGAGACTTATGGTTGTGATAACGCTGCGGAGATCAGAAAGAGATCCCTAGACAAATGCCAATGCCTGACTCCTCGTTTTGAAGAAATACTTGGCAACCTCTGTTGTTTAAATATCTGTAGCTGCTTTAGGTTTTCAGGTCTTCAGGTGGTGTTTATTGCTAGAGACACGGAAAAGTAGTAAGCGCTAAATGTCTGTCCCGTCCCCAAGTGCACTTGCTTGTCACCGTGGGAGACACTCTGGTTAGACAGGAGCTTCAAGTCACTGCCATCATGCGTGCTGTGTCAGCCGTGTACAGCTCATCCAGTAGAGCAGTGGTCCTCAGCCTTCCTAATGCAGTTCCTCACACTGTGCTGACCCCCAACCACAAAATGACCTTTGTTGCTGCTTTATAATTGAAATTTTGCTACTGTTATAAGTTGTAATGTAAATATCTGACACAGGATGAGAGCTGCTGCAGTAGGGGCCCTCAGGGTATAAATGGGAAGGGAAACGAAACGGGGAGAGACCCATGTTTTGCTTTGCATCCCATGTCGAGTCAGAGTGGTTTAGTGTTACTCTGTAACCTTCATGGGCTGTGGCATGTCACAGTATTGGAGTCCCCAGTGTGAGTGCGTGTGTGCATGTGTGTCCCAGTGTGTTTCCGTAGGAGGGTGTGAGATATGGTGATAAGGGGCAATGGATTGAAGCCACACCATTCCAGCTGCCGGCCATTTTTTTCCTTGAGGGTTATGGCCGAGATTGCACCTGCAGTTTGAGCAACCCAGACTTGTAACTCGGGTCAAAGTCACCTCTCTTCTTGCTGTTTAAGATCCAGCAATGGGAGCAGAATCTGGAAAAATTCCACATGGACCTGTTCCGCATGCGTTGCTATTTGGCGAGCTTACAAGGTGGGGAGTTACCGAACCCCAAGAGTCTCCTTGCCGCCACCAGCCGCCCATCCAAGCTGGCTCTTGGCAGGCTGGGCGTCCTGTCTGTTTCATCTTTCCACGCTCTGGTGAGTTCCAGGGAAGGCTCGGTCAGTGGCTGGCAAGGGTCTCGCCTTTCCCTAGCTGGTTGCCAACTTCCAGCAGAAGTTAACCTAGCTGGAAGTTAACCTAGCGACTGACAAGGATCACAAGAGGCTGGGCACTGGGGAGTTTGCTTGTTCTAGGAGTCTAGCTATTAGTTGGAAATTACTTCATACTCCTAGCTGCTGGTCTATCCCTCCTGATATTCTTGGGAGGGTGGGATCTCTGAGGAATGGTCCCAGTGGGTGAAGAAGAGAGAGATGGATTGTCACTTGCAAGTGTGAAGACCTGAGTTTTGTCCTCAGGTCTTAGACAAGGTGGGTGGCATCTCAGGAACGGCACTCAGAGTTGACCTTTGGTGTCCACATGTACCTGCAGACATGTGGACACATACAAATACAGTACATAGATAAAGGTTGCTTAGCCTGTAGTCTGGGAGCCCCATGGGGAGAGACTGAAATTGCTTCTGGCTTCTGCATTGAACTGGCTCAGGTGGAGGGGCTCAGAGTGGTTTTGCTGACTCTGCTGCCCACTGTGGAACCATCTGGATGTTGGAATTTGGCTTGTGCTATCTAGATGACAGGCATCTGTGTGGAGGCTGCATTTCTGTGTATGAAGTACACGGCAGACTCTTTTACTGCCAGAACACGCTTAAAGAGGGAGACTGACATCTCTACTCACAAAGACGCTTGCCAGGCTTTAAGATGCTCTCAACTGTGTCTTCCACTAGGTGTGCTCTAGAGATGACTCCGCCCTCAGGAAGAGAACACTCTCCCTTTCCCAGAGAGCAAAAAGCAAGAAAGGCATATTTTCTTCATTGAAAGGGCTGGACACCCTGGCAAGAAAAGGGAAGGAGAAGAGGGCTTCCATAACTCAGGTGAGTTCTCAACATGGAAAGCACGAGATGCGCAGTATTATTCCTCACACATCCCTGTCTGCAGGCTGCCGAAAGCCTCAAGTGTTGGTCTTCTGTTAAGGGCAAAGTCAAAGTTTCTTGAAAGGAATCTAGCTCCGTCAGGCACATGTGCCCATGTGAAATACACAAACGGCTTTGTCTGCTTCAGCAAACCCCCAAAGGCAGGCCTGCCTGTGCAGCTCTTAGGAACACTAGGAATGAGAATTATTGGGAAATGGGTCTGGGGATGTGGCCCAGTGGGTAGAGCTCTTGCTTAGTGTGTCTAAAGTTCTGTACTTGATTTTTATCCCCGCACAGCCAGAAACAGCTGTGCATGCGTGTAAGTCCAACACTTGGTAATCAGGAGTTAACAGCATGGTCAGTGAGTCTGAGGTCAGTTTGGGCTGGAAACCTTTGTCTCAAAAAGAGAAAAGAAAGCAAAGCATAGCAGAAAACGAAGCTTGAATGTGATTCAGTAGGAGGGAGCTCGCATGGGTAGACCCTGCTAGAAGAAAAGGTGTGCATGTGGGGGAGGGAAAGTATTAGGAAAAACAACGGACACTTTTTGTTGCCTTGTATCAATTTATATGAAAACGAACGCAGAAAAGTAATGCCAGTCCAAGGAAATGCAGCTAGATACTCTTGGTGGTTGTCCTGGATCCATTTGATAGCACCGATTCCGTTGCTAGTCCTAGATTGTATTGATTGATTGATAGTGCTAGAATCTGTTGCTAGTCCTAGATCTTACTGGTGGTGCTAGATTCTTTGCTCCCTCAATTGTATTCTATCAGCCGGCACTATGGAGGGAAAACACAGTGGTCTGAAAGGGTACCACTCTGTTCACCAGTGTCATAGGGCGAGGCTGAGATTTGAACCTGGAGTGTTCAAAGCCTTAAAAGAATCAACAGTTGCTGCTGCATATTTTCCAGAGGAGAGTGTTTGCTCTTCGTATTGTACCAAGGGAAGAACAACTCCAACATTTATGGCTAAAATACAGCCCTAAGTTCAGCAAACTGTTCTTTTGTTTGTTTGGTTGGTTTTTTGAGACAGGGTTTCTCTGTATTGCTTTGGAGCCTGACCTGGGACTTGCTCTGTAGTCCAGGCTGGCTTGGAACTCACAAAGATCCGCCTGCCTCTGCCTCCAGAGTGCTGGGATTAAAGGTGTGCGCCACCAAAGCCTGGCCAGCCAACTGTTTTGAGAGTGTGTTGCATGTGTAGGTCAGAAGTGTTTCCCGATACCCACAATGCAGCATGTGTTAATTGATACTTTAATCCTGGTTGGTAGGTTATAGGATTATTTTGTTCAAGTGTGGTTGAAAGGAAGAATTAAAAGGTGATCTTCTGTAATTGACAGGGAAAAGGTTTGCAATGATTTCCAGTGGGTTGCTGCTGTTCTGAAAATGATTTTGGTTGTTACTTTAAAGAGATGGTCACAGTTCATAGACGTTTATTTCCCACTTTGTACTGTGAACAACACTTTTAATGACTAGCGTGACTAAAATCTTTAAAGCGGCCTCGATGTTTAAAACCCTGAAACCGGGAATGGGATTAGAGGGGGTGGGTTGGTTGATGGAAAGACGACAAAACACATGTAAGTTCTTTATGGGACCACTGGGTTCTTAAATACTCACATACGGGAAGAAAATCACCCAGTCGCAGGATGAGATGGTCCAGGAGGTAAAGGTGCTTGAGCTCAAGCCTGGTGATTCGTTCATTTTCCCAGGGTCCATATGGTGGAAGAAGAGAACAGACTCCGCACCCTGTCCTCTAACTTCTCACATTCACTATGGCATGAGCCCTCTCTCTCCCTCTCTCTCCCTCTCTCTCCCTCTCTGTCTCTCATACACACACACACACACACACACACACACACACACACACACACACACACACACAAAGTAAAACAAATTAAAGACTTGCAGTTCTACTTGTATTTTTATTTGGTTACAGAAAGTGATTATTTGTTGGCCATAGGTAGTGGTTAACTATAATCCATTGGCTGATATTGGGCCTATGTTTTCTCAATGGCACCTTTGTGATGACGTTCTGTATATAACGTCAAGGTCAGTGTTGATATCAATCATGATAACCTCACGTAATTAAAGTGATGACATGATTGATAACTGGACAACTTGTTTATTTTTAGAAGTACCATTTAGTTGATTAAATGAGCCTTACTGTCTGCTCCGGTGTCTCTGCTAAGGGTTCTCAATGAAAGATTTCTTGGTAAACAGAAGCATTCGGTTGAACAACTTTTGTTTGTAAAAAGATATGAAGTTAATACTCACATAACTGAATAAAGTTGATTTATTTGCTTTTCCTAGTTGAACCTCTTATTTGATGTTAGCAATCTACAAAACTTAGAAGATAAAATTTATAAAATTAAAAAGTGATTTCTAGTCTTTTTGGCTTCAAACAAACCTCTATTAACATACTGCCTTCCAATATTTATTCTAAGCACATAAAAACAGTTATAAGATTGATTATGTGGCTTTGCCAACTCCTTTCCACATCTTCCGAGATGCATAATTAGTTTAAAAAAGCAATGTCAAGACAATTCAAGATGACTTGAATGCTGTGAGATGTCACAGAAAAGTAAATATGAAACCATGAGAGAAAAGAAAGCAGATTTCTGTGCAGAGGGAAAGCTTCATATTTGAATATTACTACAGACTGTGAAATGAAGTTCTCACAAAATGTTATACAACCTCAGTATTCAAACTGAAAATGTGTGGATGCCAAATGAACATCGCAGAGCCATTACATTAGTCTTTTTCCTTTCTCCTGTTTGGCAGATGTTTGATTCGAACAGCAGCCATGGATTTCCTGGGACTCAGCTACCTCAAAACTCCACTAACTCCAGTGAGGTAAACTTGGCGGGACAGGGCAGCCATCTTGTCTTATGTTGGCTAAGTGGGGAATGCTGGTTGAGAGTCTTCCCATGGCTCTGTTCAAAGACGAGTTTAGAATGAAAATGGTCATTACTAAGTAAGCTAAGAGGTGTCCTCTGAATGTTAAGTACTTTTAGATGCTTTTAAACATACACTACCACCTTCAAAAGCAGTGCTGTGATTGGCTGTGCCAGAGTAGTGCTATTCCCTTGGCAGGACCTGACCCTCCTTTGAATATTAGCGAATCCCAACGTAGACCGTCTTTCGTGACAGCCAAGGCTTTCCCATAGCTGGTACGAGTTTCTCTGGGCATCCTCAGTGGAGCTGCGAGCAGTGTCTGTCCTTCTCTTGACTTCAGAGTTGCTTCTCTTTCTGCACGTGCGCAGGCTTGGATATGCCGGCAGCTACTCTGTGCTTTTCCCAAACCGACTTCCATCTTTCAGCTTCTCCCACTTTTCCTCCATCAGATTGCTTTATCTGCAATTTTATTTCTAACAAACATCTGAGCTCATCGTGGGGCTGGAGAGATGACTCGGGGGTTACGAATAACTTAGTGTTCTCCAAGTGGACCCCAGTTCATTTTCTAGCATCCAGATAGATGGGGACTAACACACAGAGATACATAAAACAGTAAAATAGTTTTAATAACACCCGATAATGGGACTGGGGAGATGGATCAGCAGTTAGGAGAGT